TGGGGGGCACAAGGGGATGACATCAATCAAATTGAAAAAGTCAGTAACGGTTGTGTCATGGATTCTAAATTTTGAAAAATACTTATAATTACGAAGACAAGGCTAGAGACATCGTTACCTCAGAATTACAAAGTTCTATCTGACTTTTTGGCCGTTCTGAGTTACTAAGACCATAAGGTTAGAAAGTAAATTCTCTATCTGCTCTATCACAATCGTAAGAATATTCGGAGTCATTATCAAGATATTTTAAGAAATAGCCTTAGAAAAAGCATAACATGTTGTGAAAATCAGAAAATCTGACGTCAAATTCCTCAAAACTAAGCAGATAGAACGTTGTAATTTTGAGGTAGCGACATGTTACTACCTTACCCTCCAATGCAGAAGAACCCTGACAACAGTGGACCTAGGTCTGTAAGCGAGCACACATTACCGCAATCCTCTCGTTCTTCACGACTGTCCACTGATGGTTTACCCCGACTGGACAAATATACCCACACATCACACCCTGTTACCATTTAGGCGTTCAAACAGAAATCTACGTACAAGGCACAAAGACAGCACAAAGACAGCGCAAAGACTATGTAAATTCATCCTCTTCTCTTCATGTATTGGTGCATTTGGGGACACGCGCAGTGCGCATGAAAATGCACACGCATGGTGTACGTTTTATTTTTTAATGCGCGTTTGTTTGAGTAAATCAATTTGAAGCACATCGACAAAATAATCGTCATTTCGTGTGAGGAAAGAATACGACAGAAAGACGGACAGGAACGATTGAAGGGAAAAAAAAAAAGAAGTTGGATCTATCAGTGGTGTATTCCAACCATCCATCGTTTTAAGCCTCTACGTAATTGCTTTGAGGTGAATAAAGGGTAGTACATTGGCACAATAATGGTCATTTAGTGCAGTGAAACAAGAGAATGAGACACAGACAGAAACAACAGATGGAAAGATAAAAATAGGACTTATACTTATCAATGATGCCTCTAATCACCCAAGTTTTAATGCTTCGGATGGTAATTCAAATAAACTATGGAATAAAATAGTTTATAATTTATAAATACATGTACATACCATGGCATCTGAAATGTCGTTGAAACAAAGCTAGAGAGAGTGGTAGCACGGCTCGCCAACAGACACAGGTCATGACGTATTGCTCAGCTCACCGTAACGATACGCGCTCACACACAGACACAACCACACGTTTTCTCCCACGTCCAATCGTCTCTCTCTCTCTCTAGTCTATCTATCTGTCTATCTATCTCTCTCCATCGTGTCTCTCTTTCCATCGTGTCTCTCTCTCTCTCTCTCTCTCTCTCTCTCTCTCTCCGTATCTCTCTCCTTCCTTGTCTCTTTCTCAGTCTCGTCTGTCAGTGGGAACACATCACCACAGAGACCCAGACAGACAAAACGGTCGCTGTAATTTCACATACCCAAACAACTTTTAGTTTAATTAAGTAACAGTTTTACGGCATTTGCAACATAATAAGGTCATATAAGAGCCGAGGATTAGAGGTGTTACTGGATAGTAACAAACATAAAAAAGAAGGAGGAGAGATCACGACGATAGATGTCTGATAGAAGGAAAGAAGAAGCAAACCATACCAGAGCACCCGCCAAACAGCAGTTACTGTACTCAATCTAATCTCTAATCTAACAAGAACAGCCGATCGAGTTCCTCACTCACAAAACAAGAAAGAAAAAAGAAAAATGAGGGGAAAATGAGGTGTGTGGGGTCAGGGTGGGGGGAGAAAAGGAGCAAACCTAACAGAGGATGGGGAATAGGACACAGACAGAAACCTGACTTGGATTTAAAACAACACAGCAGGCAAGCAGAATAGCAGAGGAGACGTGTGAGTGTTTTAGAGCAGACAGGTCCGGGAAGCAACGTCCTATTACTGCAAGAGCGGAGAAGAAGAATCTGTTTGTGTGTGTGCGGGGGG